AAAGGTATTTTGATGCTGATGTGCAGGCACTTTTTAAAATTTCAAATCAGTTTAAAATAGAGCGAAAAAATCAATTCAAAAGTCACACCANTTATGCCAAGTACTAAGCTAAACTCCCCTCCACTTAACCCATTCCAACTAATGTTATTTTAGCTCATTCAACTTACATAAACTATCCTTAATTTTATCGGTTGAATTTCAACCGCTGGGCGAACACTAGTTTGTATAAAATTATAAAATCGGATTTACACGTAAAATATGATATATTTTTACAAAAAATTTCTGAATATTAAATGAACAAAAGGAAAACTGTAAATACTATCGATTAAAAGGGTGCGCTATTCAAATGACGAGGAGTGTTCATAAATATGTACCTATATATATATGCCAATTAGGGCCTTTCGTAATGATGACTAAGCTGTACATGTATATATATACATATGTATGTACACAAGGCGAATACATACAAGGTGGTGTACCGAAGCAGCTGAAGTGAACACATTCGATTGTTTCGATACTGATAGTGAAAAAATATTCGATACTATCGAAATATATCTTACATATGTTGAGATATAACACTAATGCCCGGTTTCACCAATCAATTTTAAAATGTATCAAACTTAAAATTTAAAATAGCACAATCTCCTAAAAAATTATGTTATTTTAAATTATAACGGCCTGACAAATTTAAAATTGATTGATGAAACTGAGCATAAGATTTTGTAAATCGTCAAATGTAATTCCATTTTTTATGGTCCAAGAAAAATTTGGCAAGTGATATGACAGATCCCATCGCCTGGAAATTTCTTTGCTTCTTTTTTTACTATATAAGATAACATAAGCCAAGAAAAAATCTTATTCTTAAATAACCCATTTCGTAACTACAAAAACCATAAAGATTATTTTTATACACAAAAATATCTTGTGTAAAACAAAATTAGATCGTGTATTTCAGTAACACATTCCATAACAAAAACCTTGAAGAAGTGTTAAGAAAAATTCGATAGTGGCGGCAAAATGACACCATCGATACTATCGAGAGCCCCATCGAAAGTTCTCCATCACTATTATTTGATGCTGTAGCCGCTTAATGCACAAAATTAACCACACAAATATTATACCAATACCAATTAGTACAAATAGGAGTCGAATAACAATCTTATTTGTACTAATTTGGACTTGGGCAAATATTTGTGTGGTGTATTTTGCGCATAAGCGATTTTGGCCGAGTTAAACAAAGCGGGCCAGTCATTTCTCCTCTGTGCCAACTGACACCAATTGGAAATACCAAGCGAAGCTATTTTCATCGCTGTTAGGGCTTCTCTCTTCCTCTGCTACCACCAGCGGGCTCCGAGTTGAATACTTTCAGAGTATCGTTCCATCGTCTGCGGTACTCGCCGCAAAGGTCCATAAATCTTCCGCAAAATCTTTCAATGCTTCTGAGCCATATACCCACACGGGCATGATAATTCCCCTATAGAGTGTGTTTTTTGTACGGCGAGAGAGGACTTTACCCCTGAATTGCCTACTCAGTCCAAAGTAGCACTTGTTGGAAATAGGGATTCTCCGTTGGATTTCGATGTTGACATTATTATCGGTATTAATGCTGGTTCCCAAGTAAACGAAATTCTCTACTTTCTTGAAATTATAACTGTCAACAGTGACGTGTGCGCCAAGACGGGGATCCGCTGGCGTTTGTTTTTTGACAGGAGATACTTCGTTTTGTCCTCGTTTACCACCAGACCCAATCGCTTAGCGTCCCTATCCAACTTGGAAAGGCAGAACAGACTTTTGCGGTTCTTATTACCGATAATGTCGATGCGCATGCGCCAGCAATTGTACCCTCTTGTAAAGAATTGTGCTTGAGCAGTTCAGTTCTGCGGCTTATCAGATCCAATATCAGATTAAAGAAATCATATGAAAGGGAGTCGCCCTGTCTGAAACCCCGCTTGGTAGCAAACTACTCGGGGAGATCTTTCCCAATTCTGGCGGAGCTGGTGGTAATTGCTCAACGTCATTTTTCACACATCGCGGCGTATAGGCAACTGCTTTTAGTGCTGTCGAAAGCAGCTTTGAACTCGACGAATGGTGGTGAGTGTCCTTTACTCGCTGGTCTTTTCCAATTTTTGGCGTATTGTGAATACCTGTCGCTATCACCTTTTATGAATTCGCCTTGTACATATAGCGTATGGAAATTGGTCGGGAGATTTTTTTTCGAGGATGAGTATGGAATTTCCGGTCTCTAAAAATAATTTTAAGAGAAAGTGTAGAAGAAAGCATACGGCGGAAATGAGTTTCTAGCTTGCGTGTTTTAAAAAAAAATGTAACTTTTCACAAAAGTTTATATTTTTCATTATTTATCAGTTTCAAATTGCTTTAACCTTTTGCTGCAACTAGGATTGCTGATATTTTCAAAAATATCGCGTTTCGATATATAGAAATGGCGAAATTGAAAAAAATCGTCATATCAATAATATCGTTTTTGAAATATCGATATATCAATGTATCGCACTAAAAAACATTTGAAATTGCACAGGGATATTTAAGAATCATTTTTCAATAATAGTTCAAAGAAAAGAAGAATAACTTACAGTATTATTTATTTTACATTTTCCAAATGTGAAAGATCTGTTAACCGACATAAATTCTTACACGTAAAAATTTTACTTTCAAGACTTCCGACAATTAAAAAATTTAACTATTCGTATTTTAATGGTAAAAAACTTAATTAATGTTTTTAAATATAGATGTATGTACGGGCACATTTTGTAATACACATAAAGATCTGTATAAATTGATTAATACATATCGTCACTAGACACGAATAAAGGCGCGCTAGTGTTTCGACGGCGAAAAAAGACGCATACAAAAGTTTTACGAAAAAAGGCGCTTAAGAAAAACTTCGGCGAAGAAAGACGCCTAACCTAGTTGACGGCGAAGAAAGACGCGTAATCATAGATTTATACTTGGCGAAGGACTGCCACTATTCCCCAAAAACTATTAACGGAATGTACATACTATTACACCCGCAAACATAGTTGACCGCGAAAAAGTTTACGCGTCCTTCTTGGCCGTCAAATAATTTAACGCGTCTTTCTTCGCGGTCAACTATGTTAAGAGTCTTTCTTCGCTGAAGTTTTTTTTTTATGCGCCTTTCTTCGCGGTCAACTTTTGAGCTCGCGCCTTTATTCGTGTCTAGTGACGATATATTAAGCGATTGCGCAGGTTATTAAAGTTTGTTGAACTGATGTAAAAAATTAACCATATAAATATAAAAAACCTAAAGCATGCAATTGTTCTGGTAACAAGGCGATATTTGTGCATAAATTATCGATATCTGATATTAATGTCCTCAATTATATCGCGCCGATAATATCGTATCAGAAACAAAAAATATTGTCAATATCGATATAATATCAACAATCCTAGCTGTAACTACATATGTACATATGTATTGGATACAAAATGCTTATATTTTAGATTATAGCATTTTTAATTGATTTACATATCGAATTTTTAGTGTTCAGTGTATACCAGGGGTGGGCAAGGCCGTGGCCGAAAAGAGCCACATCTAAATTCTAAATGCTAAAAGCATTTTATCATTATCCTAATGTACGTAAGATAGATATTAAAGAAAATTCAAAAGATCCCTTTGGCCAAATTTTCAAAAAATGGTTTTACGTCAGTTAAAGCCGTTCGAAACAGTTAACAGAACATGTTGGTTAGTCAATTGTGAACGGTATTTTGGCTTTACGAATTTCATTGCAGAGTACAAAAACTCACAGTTATACGTTGAACTAAAAATTTAAAATATACGGCAAGCAGCTGCTTTCAACGGCGTATATTTTAAATCTAATGCTTGTTGGCGGAATTCAAGCAATGGCAAAGCTTTGTGTTGCATTTCCAGTGTCTTATCTTCTTTTCATTCCAAAAACTTCAACTCTTCTTCGCTTTTCTTAAAAAGGAGTATTTCGGATATTGTAAATTCATCCTCAATTATGTTACATAAAAAGGGTTTATGAAGTATGCAATCGTACATATAAATAATTTCAAGTTGGCAAATCTTTTTTCAAAATCTGCTTTTAAATGATGTAGTTTTGCGACATGGGGTCCAGTTTATCCCCTTTGACATGTGTAATATTTTTTTCTAGCCATGGAAAATGATGAAATATTCTTTTTTGAGATCATGTATAAAACGAAATAGTTTAGCTTCAAAACTTAAAATAATTTGCGACAAATCAAACATTTTTATTCTTTCCTTGTAGAGACAAATTCCAGTTTAGCAAATGTTCCATCATATCGGTAAAGAACATTAAGTCAGAAAGGCAATTTTCATTCTGCAATTGCGGTTCATGTTCCGATCTCAATTTTCGTATGTGTATATAAAAAGAATTAAATAAAAAAACAACACAATATATAGTTTAAAAAGTAAAAAGAGCCAAAATGTTCGAAGAAAAGAGAAAGTAAAAAGAGCCGCACTGTGATAAGCAAAGGGCCGCATTTGGCTCAAAGAGCCGCGTTTGCCCACCATTGGTGTATACACGTACTTATTTACTTTTTATAAATGATTTAAACAAATGTTCATTCACTCAAATCCAAAACTATAATTTTACATTACAGTGAGGTTGTTCACACTTGCCTGGTTATCAGGTTATCTGCTTAAAATTAAACTCAATAAATAATAACCACATAACCTGATAACCAGACAGGTGTGCACATCCACAGTGTTTGATTTGTTGAACAAAACAGTCTTGCATTGACAGTAAAAAGAATTTTAAACGGAAAAATTGCAAAAATACTATTGGATGAATACACAAATACAGACATTTTAAATGCAAAAGTTGTAAGAAAAGGTGAAACAAATTTATTTTGTGCAAATATAATTTTTTCACTTAAAAATGATCAGGCTCGAAACTCATTTCCAACCTATGGTTCCGATTTAGTAAAAAAAAGAATCGACCCTCCCTAATGTTCATGTTTACAAATATTTTATATTTCAGTCCCTGCGTGAAGTCATTCCCCACGTGGAAATGGAACGGCGTCTTTCTAAAATAGAAACACTTACCTTGGCCAAAAACTATATTATCAACTTGACGCATATAATTCTTTCGAAACGTAATGAGGAGCCATCACTGGAGTTGAATGGCGTTATATTGAATGGAGCTACCACCAGCGAAATGACTACCAATGGTGGACTTGGTTTGAACGATGTTGGACTTGGTGTTGGCATTGGTGTTGGCATATTGAGTTTAAATGGTGGCGGAGGCAGTGGTGGCAGCTCTGGCGGTGGCGGTTCCTGCTATGACGAGGTCCTTACCAACGGCACAAACTCTTATGACTGTGCCTTAGCCGCAGCAGATGGTGCAAATCAGCCACCTCGCCTAACGACCGCCACCACCACCATACAGATACAGAACCAAAGTCTCAGCCACTTGCAGCCACAATTGTCGCAACATCTTATGCAGTCGAACCACAATCAATTGATGTTGCAACAATCGAATGCAGCGCCAATATTACTCAACAATGGTTTCGATGCGAATGACAACAACAATAATTATGATGAGCCATTTCGAGAATTTATATAAACTTGAGGGGTAATAAATGAAGCATAACCAAGCTTGATTTAACTTTCGTAAGAACTCTAGAAGTTAAAACTTTCGTTTTGAAAAACTGCTTTATACTTTTTTCGCATATACATCTACTGATAAGAAGTTGGTTTTAAATTACGTTACTTTGATTTTACACTAACTCGAGCTTTATAGATTACTAACTTATGTAAACTATGTACATACATATGCAAGCATCACGGTATGACAGTGGAAAAATGACCAAGATGAGAAAGAACTCGCTGGACCGAAATATTCAAATAACGCGAGCATTTAAAAGATATGTATATACTTGTACTTTATTTTATGAAGATTTACTGAACTCATTAATCATTTACTTTTGAAATTTATTGGTTATCGCATCTTTCTTATTCCCTTCGTGTCACATTTTTTTTCTAATGCTTTTGAAATTTTTCGAGCCAAAAAATCATATTGGTAGCTTAGAGTGAAAAGTTGCTAAGCCCCATTTTAAAAACTTTACAGGAGAGGAAAAAAGTTTCTTATGGTCATTTTCTTCAAGTATTACGAAAATCTTTGATACAACATTTTGGCTGTTTAAAGCAGAACAAAACTCCATATGAATCAGAGGGATTCGATATTTATTAAAAGATTTCGTACTATTTTGAGCTTATCGGATTTTCGGCGCTTCTTTTGGACATAGAAAATTTTACTTTCATTGAATATAAACGAGAATTAATAAAACAAGCACCCTTATCCTTTTCAGAACAATGCATTTTTAATTTATCTAGCCTCCTGTACCGAAATATGAGTTTTCATAAAAAGTGGACTTAGCAACTTTTCACTCTAAGCTAGCGATATGCCGCATATGGGCGAATCCAGTGAAGTCTACCGCGCAAAAAAAATTAAAAGTCCTATACCTAACTTATTAATAGGCCGATTTGGCTGCTTTTTATTATATATACTGAATATGTAAGCAGAAAATTTCTGATTTGTTTCGCATTTGCCATGTTTATTTGAAACGTAGTAGGACATGGATTTGCAAAAAATGAAACCGCTATTTGCGCTGATGTCAAAATAAAAAGAACGTTCGACATAAAATGCATATTTTCTTCATGTTAAAAATTCTTTCAAGAACAATATTAACACAACTTTTTGAATGGAAATTTTAGTAACGTAACGCCAGGTAACCTCACGTCAGATAATTCAGCTGATTAAACATAAAGCAGAAATGATTTTTACATTTCAAGACTTGGAAAATTAACCTTAAGCATTTCTAATATTACTTCCAAAGCTTTTATACAAATTCCCAGTTCACAGAGTTTTGCAATTTTGCACGCCAGCGCGTAAGTTTACTAATACCTTTAAATCGCTGCAACCAACAGTTATAATTTTCTTACTGAATAAGGGGCCATTTAATTGCTATGCAAATCTAGAAAAACCCTTTTTAAAATTTTGACTTTTCCAATTCTTTTTTTTTACATTTTGTCATACGAGCGTCTCGTACCGCCAGTTTGGAAACTCCCNATTGACTTCAAATCGTTATGACAGAGGAAGCAAAGATGTACCAATAAAAATACAGAACAACAGTATGAATGTCGTTAGAACTTGGAAAGATAGCGACAGCTGAAAGAAAAGGTGTTACTCCATGTTACAGTTTTGCTCGTCACTGTATGTATATATGTCGTCGTTTAAAGTACAAAACCGTGTATCCTTGTCCATTTATACTAAACTATCGATATTTAGATATAAGAAGAAGAGATAATTAGAAATAAAAAAGAGAACCGTTTTGAAATAAGACAAGGTTTACTCTCTCCTATAAAATTTCGGCAGCCTCACATACGACGTTATGCAGTTTCTTGATACACGGTTTTGTACTTTAAACGACGATATGTACTTATGTATATAAGTACATATTAGCTCGATTGATTCGGTTTTTCCAAACCTGTTCCCATCGGTTTTTATAGAAATCGAGGGCGTTTTTTTTTTGAAATTTTGATTTTTCGAATATCGAATAAACCGGGTTTTTTTTATCGAACAACCCGGCTTTTTCATTTCATATAAATCTTGACCCCAAAAAAGTTTAGGTTTTTCGAAGTTATTAAGGCTTTTTCCAGTTTAAGGGAAAACCCTAAATTGTTTTAAAATTATATCCTCGGTTATTTCGGGATGAACAGGATATCACATTTGATTGCAATAAATGAATGTTTAGCGCTTGTATGACCGAGCTTCTTCTCCATTTCGTGTTCAGCTTTTTGATGTTGTGTCACAAAAAATTTTTTTCTACGCTTTAAATGACAGACTCGCTCTGACAGATAAGATGAATTGCATGAAAATGGACAAAGCATCAAGGATGAAAAAGTTGGTATAATTGTACGTTTTTCCGACGTTTTCTGACTTAAAGGTACATTAGGTACATTCACTTGATTTTAGATGCAATCATCTTTGATAGATGCATTTTTAGCTGTCCTTTTTCCTTTATCTTTACTTGTAGGCATGGGAGAAGCTTCGCTTTCATTTTGTGAAAAGTGTTCAAAAGGAAGAACTTAACAAAATCATACTATTCCCTTAAACATTTTACATTGCGTTAAGAATAGCCACTGCGAAAAAATAACACTTTACTTAGCTATCCTCAAATTCGTAATTCTTGTAATATTTTTTATATTTGAAAATTGAACTAAATTCTTCCATAAAACTTCCCCAGTCGGTAAAGTAGTAATGTATTGCATGCGTGATAAATAATATAATATGGTTTTTCGCGCTTGCCTTGTTGTCTATTATTTTTAACCATATAACCTGATAAATAGGCAAGCGTGAACAACCACAATGTATTTCTTATGAGTTCTCAATTATATTACTGCTAACTATGTAATTAGCATTCTAATGTGTTCAAAAAGTCCCAAACATTTCATATTAAAACATATTCATTTCTCGATACTAGGTAATGAAAAATTGAATTCCCCACTTTTCTTAGGACATCGCCCTGGGGAAAAAATTAATTTTCGAATGTGAAAAGGGTTGTTTTACTGATTATTTTTTCGTTTACTATACATTACATTTTCCCACTGGATCATTGCGCCCTATACCGACGTTCTCGAATGACAGCGTGAAACACCTAGTCGGAAAAGTAGTAATGCATTACATGCGTGATAAATAATATAATGTATTTCTTATGAGTTCTCGATTATATTACTGCTAACATGTAATCAGCATTCTAATGCAGACATGGGCACATTTGCCCGTAGAGGCTTTTTTGCCCGTACGGGCAAGCGAGCCCATTTCGCGGGCTAGATCAGGGGGAAATCGCGGGCAAACATGAAGAGGGCAACGAATCTTACTAATACATGTATACCTATGAGAGCCACTGCACAAGGATACTGGAGTGAAAAGGCCCATTCTCCCAAACGTACGCCACATACACTCCTCGTCATTTAAATAGCTAACCCTTTTAATTCTTAGTGATTACAGTTTTCCTTTGTTTATCTTATTACATTAAACGAGCAATTCTTGTATATATACATATATGTATATCCATAGAGTTCTCGGAAACGGCTCTAACGATTTCGATGAAATTTTGTACACCGATAATGTTTTGGATCCTAAGGTTATCTGAATAGGCATTATCTCCGAGAAGACTCGTATAAGGTTGCCACCTATTCGAAATTAGTTACAAATTAATTAAAACATCATAATATCGGTATCAAATGGAAGGTATTTGAAAGATTCCTGATTCAAAAATATTTTTAATGGGGTTGCCACCCATTTTGAATCGCATATTTATTTAATTTTTTGTTTAGAAAAAAAAGGAAAAATATTACTATTCATGGGTACCAAGAGAAGGTTCTTAAACAATGATTTACCTAATATACAAAATGTTATCTCTTAGGATAATAGTATAAGGTTGCCACTTCTTTTCGATTCTACACAATTTATCTAAAACATCGCAATATGGATATCCAATGAAAGGCATTGTTAAGAGCTTTAGCCAGAAAATATTTTCCATCAAGGTTACCACGTTTCTATGTAATAAAAATTTTTATTTTGTCAATTTTTATCAAAATATTTTTATGTATACACAGTACATATACGCTCAAGATATGTACCTTTCATTCCAGCGTATTTCGGAATAGGGTTGCCACCTAAATTTTGGTGTAAAAAATTTCCTTAGTAGATATCGAAGTCCTACTTTTTTTTTTGTTTATTTCCAAAATATTTTTTAAAAGCTATCCAAATCTTGAAAACTTTAAAAAGTATAAACACTCCGGGCATAGCTCGGTCAACCTGGTGCTTTAATATTCATTAGATCCGATTTTAAAACTTCATACAAATTTAAGAAAAATGTCAACAAAGGGGTGCGCTATCAGAATGATCTGCAGTGAATAAGTTAATAATAAATATTTTTAGAAAATTTCGGATATGCAGTTTTGTAGCCCATTCAGTTTTGGTACAATAAATTGTAAGTTTCAAGAATCTGTAAAATAGCGTTGATTTTTGACAATTTTTTTGGAGATGGTGGATTTATTCCATACAAAATATGCTCGACAAAATATTTATATGGAAAAATGCGCAGCACCGTCAAAAAAGAATTTTAAAAATCAGTGCTATTTTACAGCCACTTGAAGCATGAACTTTATTATTCTATAATTCAATGGGCTACAAATCTGCATACCCGAAATTTTTATACAAATATTATTAATTTATTCGCTGCAGATCATTACACTCCTTTGTTGACATTTTTTAAGAGCTGTTTTCAGCTCTCAAGAAAAACGAAAAAATCATATAAAATGCTGCACAAGAAATGGAAAACAATTTTCTTTTTAAGTTATAATTTGTAAAAACTTTTAAAATTGCTTTTACCCATATAATATGCATATTTTTACAAAAAATTAATATTAAATAAACAGAAGGAAAACTCTAAATACTAAGGATTAAAAGGGTGCGCAATTCAAATGACGAGGATTGTGTATGAGCAGATGTGATCACTACCACAAGCAAACGTATGCTGAATGTGTGATTGTGATCTCATAAGCTGGTAACAAAGTATTGCCCCGTGAAATATGCAATGCCAGAATTTGCACAATTCTTCATAGCTGAATTGCTGAATATTTTAACTGCATTACCAATGTAACTAGAATCGCGGTGACAGAGCTGGTAACATTTTTTGGTAATAAAATTTTCTGGTTACAAAATCTTTGGTAACGTGCAGAATAGACCTGATAGCCGAACGTGTACCAAAATGCAAAAAAAAATGACCAAAATACATGGGTTTAAGTTATAGATTCAAATTCTTAAAATACGAATTGCCCATATAGATAATAAACCAATTTTCTGAGAGTTTTGTGAACTTGTTTATAATGCGGCAATATACGTACAGTGACGAGCAAAACTGTAACATGGTGTAACACCTTTTATTTCAGCCGTCGCTATTTTTCCCAGTTCTAAAAACA